CGACTTGGCTCGGCTCATATTCCTATTAGATTTAGAGAACTAGCTACGCGATCAATATCAAACAATTGGAATGTTACTTGTTACTACTACGTCATTCTCCGCTGAGTCTTTCTCGATTTCCTTTTTCTCTGTAAATTTGACACTGAGTTTAATGCCTAAGCTCTCGTGTGTCACATTAAGTGCCTTGAACTCTTGGTGTCAACTGCCTTGAACTTCATCGATGTCAACTGCCTTGAACTTCATCGATGTCACTCGCATGTTGCAGTCACTCGTTTGTGCTTCACTTTTACACAAGATACTTTATTTGGTGCAGTAAATAGAACAGGTGTGTCCGAAATCTGCACCAATCATTGGGGATGTTTTTTACCATCGACTTCAGACCCAGAGGCTCTCATCGATGACTCTTCACACAATGTGACTACGATGTTGATCGTCTCTTTCACCTTTTTTTCGAGATTTAAACGGACATGAAATGTCATATCGCGAGCCCGAGGGGTATAGCTATTGGTGAATATGTGAAAGGTGATGTCCAAATTTGTCGGCAGCGTTTTTCGGTGTGCGCGTGTCACCGAATCATGCAGTGTACACTGCATACGTCTTCTTAGATGCAATCTACAGAGTGTGTTATTTGTAGGTATGAATGCATGGTGGGTGACACTTTATGCTTAGTCACTCGTTGCAACCGCCCAAGAGTTTGCAAATAGCGTACTCGCACACATGCACGTGAATGGACCGAAAAGCGATATAAAGGCGAGCTGTAACGGGGCACCAATCGCTACGTACTGGGCTACCAGTACGGAGCCAACTCTCACTGACAGCAGTGAATGTCAGTGCCCTTCTACCTCTAATACACTATATAGAGGAAGGGTAAACAAATAAGACAAATACTCTAGTCGTAGTAAAAGTGAAACTGTTATTTAATATAATTAAGTCCAATATCCCTTGTTGTCTAATTCATCCTAACTTAGCTATATTTATATATAACTTAACGTATGATGATGTCTACTTACCATCCATTGAGCGCGTCTAGCTGCGATTAGTGGGTCGATATAAACACAATATCAACCAATGAGTAGACATTTGGGTCATCTCAACAATGTCACTGTATGAAGTGATATTGTATAAAGAACATGCAACATAATATTTGTATCACCATTTCGCACAATGGTAATTTCTTGCAACGGGCTACCCCTTTCCACAAACACGCCTTTTCCAAGGCATTATGATGAGTCGTAGTCGAATGGCATTTATGGAGTAGTAAATGTGCAGTGAAACGTTGTCTTACGAGGTCTTGCTCGTAAAGCATTTTCGTCTCTTGTATTGATCATGACAGAGTGACAACTAGTTACTGCCATGCACCACTATCTCTTTTTTGATGATACTGTCGACAGGAAAGCGCAATGAGTCCAGTGTTATCCTTCTCGCTCGACGAAATCTCATGCTCCCGAGAAATCACATTTTCATTCATCAATGACATGTCATTTGTCTCACTTCGCGGTTGATTTGTTGTTGGTGCAGAACATACAACTTTATCCATCGCCCCTCCTTTTCTTACATCCTGTCCTTCAATATCGACAACGACAATAATACGCTTCGCCACACAACCATCCATAGCGTATCGTGTCTGGCACGCTATGGCAAGTGGTGCATTGAATAGCCATATTTTGGCGCGGCTGGCAGCTATAATTCACCTTTGAAAGTACACTTATTCGTCCTCCAGCCTCTAATTCGGCCCGTATGAAATGGGTATATCCATACTTATAGTTTGGTTGAGCTTGTTCGACTAAATTAATTGTATCAAGGAGCGAGTCCGCTCATTTGTCAGAATGGTGATGATGAAAGTGTAGTGTATGTAGGTATGTGGACGACCAACAATAACCAGGCGTGAGTTTTACTGCACACGAATATGTGCCGCATTAATAAAAGATGAAGGTCTCATAATATCCGACCACGCTTGGTGTAGCTGTGATGCCCTGTGTCACGTTGTCTCACATCCTGTGTTTAAGGCTTTTTGTACCTGGCTACCGATGCTGCGGACGAGCAGTTCGAGGACATAGCAGGCCAATGTGAGGCGTCTGACGTGACATGGCAATATCTACTATAAGGTAGGTCATTCATCCTGTATATGCAGAGCAAACTAGATAGTCTTGGTAGACTGAACGGATGTCAGGACTTATCAACAAAATAGACAAAGTTGTAAGCGATTGCCGGTACGAAACATCACGCTTTCTTGTTTCCGAGATTACACTTATGTGAATCGACGATTTTGTGCGCACGAATGTATGACGTCGCTCTCCTTTACGTTGATTACGTCGAGTACATCAGTTCGACAATGATGGGAAACACTACGTGTAACGGGGTAGCCCGTTACATGAAATTGTCATTAAAACAATTTGACTATAATGAATATCACGTCGAATATTCTTTTAACAATATCACAGATATGGCGATATTGTTGACATGACCGAAGGATCTACTCATTGGTTGGTATCGTGATGATATCAACCCACCAATCGCTGCTAGACGCGCGCAATGGGTGGTGAGTAGACGTCATCATACATTTAGTTATATTAGTATAATTAAGTCAGGACAACAGAGATACAAGAAGTTATAGGACTTGATTATCTGAATACAGTTTTACTTTTACCAGAGACTAGTCTGACTACTTAGTCTCTTTTCCTTCCTCTGTGTTATATTCAACACCTAGCAGGGCACTGTCGACCACTGTCGTCAGTGGAAGTATACTCCGTACTGGTCAACCAGTACGTAGTCGACAGTGCCCCGTTACTCTACGCGCCAATCAAATCGGTTTAGCAGGGCTAGTAATTCCAACATGATGGACAGCTTGTACCTCGTCTGCTACCAGCGGTTCGATTCCACGGTGCTGCAAATAGTGTGAAACAAGTCAGGCTCGGACTTTGATGCAGCTTCTATGACTACAAGTTGTCTTTGTACAAAAAATACTTCCCCTCACACATCTTCAAAAAGAGTAAATCTCAAAACCAGTACCACAAATGTACAAAAGTCCCAAAACCAGTACTCTACTCAACACAAGAATAAAAACACACTAAATAGTGTCAACCACATTATGCTTAACTGCAACATGGGATGAGAAACTGCTTGATTGCTAGGGAGAGGCCAGGCGGCAGCAAGTAACTCAGACAATGGCAGGAAGTGAGGCAACAAGTAAAGTAAATATGCATTTCAAACCCTTTTGCGCCCGATGTTTACTTACTAAATAGCTACCAGCTCCAATCTTACCTCTATTCAATCGTCTTGTTTTGCAGCCTTAATTAAGGCTGGCATAATACTGTCAAAGGATCGATTGAAGCAGCTGGCGAGATGCCTTCGGGCACACGCGCAAGTGGAAGCTGTGGGCCCATTCCAAACGTGTCTACGTTCATCATCGGCTGTAGCTCCTGTTGTGGTGCCATCATCTGCGTCTGGTGGTGCTCTAGTGGCGGCAGTGGCTGCTGGAACGCAACTGGGCCTTGTGGAGCTGCGGTCGCGCCAAATGAGACATTGAGCAGATCCCTTTGACCATCGCGCGATGTTGTTGCGAAGGCGGCGCTCGGTCTATGGAGGCTTGGGCTAAGGGAATCTGCTGCTGGTGGTGGTCGCCCCGGCTCGATGTACGACGCGTGTAAGTACGACTTGTTTGACGGGTAGCAGTAATAGCAGAGCGTGCGTTCGCCCCGACGCGTCGAACCCCAGGCATTGGGGCCGGTGCACCGGGAATGACGCCAAAGATAGCCGGAGCAAACATCTGCCGCCCGTCGACGGTGCCATTCGCTTCGTCATCACTTGAGGGCTCGTCGTTTTCGCAGTTGCTCGGGCTGGCGTCCTCTTGCTGCGGTTTGGGAGTTGGGAAGACTGAGGAGGGAACGGTCCCTGGCCGCCTATAGCGGCACAAGGTGGATGCGTACCGTAGCCACCTTGTACCCGTTGATGCCCTGGCTACCTTGGTTGTACGGATTAAACAGGCCAGTGCCTACAGGTATGTCAGCTCCAGTTGGACCAGGTGCGAGGTTGTCGGGCGTGGGTATACCCATAGGGCCCCATACGTTCTTGACAACTCCGCGCTTTTTAGCATCGAAGCCCGTAATAGGGTCTGGGCCAGTAGACCGCCGAGCCTAGGCGTGCCGCCCTGACCACCGATGTTACCCCAATTGTTGACCCCGACCGATCATTGCTGGTCCACAAGTGGAAGCTTGGTCAGACACGGAATTGCAGGCTTCTATAGCTGCGTACATGACGGTTCAAAAGAGGCACGAAAGGAGCTGGTAGCTAAATGAACGTTAGCATTGGGCACGACAGGGCCAATGATATGTATTTCAACTAACTTGCTGCCGCACTTGCTGCCACGGTCTGTTTCACTTACTACCCTCTCGCTCTCCCTAGCAATCAAGCAGTTTTTTACTCCATGTTGCAGTTAAGCATAATGTGGTTGACACTATTTCGTGTGTTTTTACACTTGTGTTGAGTAGAGTACTGGTTTTGGGACTTTTGTACATTTGTGGTACTGGTTTTGAGATTTACTCCTTCAAAACAACTCAATCGAGGCGCCAAGTGGTATGTACGGCAGTATGTCAACCTTCAATTGGACTATATGAACGCGCCCTCCGACATTGTCAAACATGGTTTCTACTACGGCTTTGCCTAAGGTCAATCAGTCGTGCGGTCGTACCAAGCGCGTAGCAGTACATCGAGGTCTGTCGCCCTGTGCCTCGTACGCGAGTACAAGCGTGACCGGTGGGTCTTCACAGCGTCTGAATCACGATGTGCCTCAGACATAAGGGATCAAAGCCAACCGTCCGTGGAATTCACACCCACTGTGGCTACTGCAGCCGTTGCAAACGCCATGAAGACTCCGGTCCTGTCGAGGTACTCATCACCCGCGTCGCCGCATGATAATCTCTACATGAGTGCAAACTACAGCTGGCGCACAAGCAACTGCAAGAGTGTTTACGCCCATTCACATACCGTAAGCTTATCTCATGTTATTGGTGCACCACGGCCGTTGTCTGCTTTGCCTTCATTCCGCGCTTCAGAAGCTCTTTCTCGCGCGGTACCAATCGCAACTCTCGGACTGTCGTCAAAAAGGAATAGAGCAAAGAGCCCAACGTCTTGTGCGTGAGTACTCGGACGTTGCTGCGACGTCGCACCGATCGGTTAGAAGTGCCCGTCTCTTTATCTACATCTGAGCAACACGACGTGTTCACCATCACATGGCCGTCTGCTTGTACTACCTTAGTCACCAAAATGATCATGGAGTGGTAGTCGACCTGGTATTTCGCCTTGCTGCGCAACACAAGAGCCGAGTCGCAAACAATTAATCAAGGTCACGATCTACACGTTATCCTCAGCGAAAACAATGCACTCACATAATTTGCAAGATCACTTGGGCACTGTGCAGCTCTGCAGCCGTCATCGGTGCAGGCTGGAGCAAGACGCTGGACAAGTAGAGAGAAAACTGTGCGATGGAGTCAACAGGCGCTTCGTCTGAATGCGATGTCCATGCCACATCTTGGTCGCGCCGTTCACAATGGTATTTCTGAATCAACACGAGAAGGAAAGTTGGAAACGGTCGGTGTGTCTTTGCCTCAAACTCTGCTTCTACTGTCCACGAACAAAATGACCCAAAACAATCCAAACATGATCGGCAAGACAAGACGCACATACAAAGTGAGCTAGTTGCCACCAACTCGCCCAGCAGCAAGTACAATATCAATATCGCAGCCAACCTGCATCGTTGATATCAGCAAGCGTAGGTATTGAGGGCGCTCCCAATGCAGCCACATCTTTCTGCACGCGATCAATGATCTCGAGCATCGCCGTTTTCAGCTGAGCAAATGTTACCACATATTGCCGCGCTAGCCACTGAAAGTGAAAGACTTGTCGCTTCACTTGGTCCTCAGGCTTCAGCACATTCATCTGGACCAAACTTCGTCGCCGTCGATTCGACAGAAAGTCAAAGTGCGACGGGTCGTCTTCGAGTTTCTTGATCTCGTGAAATCGATACTTCATCGCCTCGGTCGGAAGCGTGCGAAACGTTTCGTCCACCGCTTCGTACCTCGTTTTCAGTCCTTCTGCAATCGCACGCAGTCGATTGACATCTTGCGAGCTAAAGCGCGCGCCTTTTCGTGCCCCACACATCATCAAAATCTGCCAAGTGCATCGACACATCAAGTAGGTTAGCAACTTGCTCCATCCGTCTTGTCTTTCGCCGACGAGCATCGTGTTCGTGGCAGTTTGTCTTTCATCGACTAAGGACGTACGTCGTTTAAAACGTGCAGGTAAATCCGTTCTGTTGCACTGCTGAGATTCAGCTTTTCATTCTCTTCGGGCGTGGGTTTATGGTACCGTAAGCCGTCAATAAAGCGCAACATCTGCGGCGGGGGCTTGACACGGTACGCCGACTCGTCAAAGTTCTACGTGGTCCACACATACACACATTTGGTATAGAGCCCCATTCCATAGCAAATACCACAGGTCAGCTCTATCCGTGTCCGACATCCAGTGCCCAAACTTTTTCTTCGCTAAGACGTACTTCATAGCCACTGCAATAATGGACGCACCTCGAAAATCGGCTTCTTAATCACTTTACGCAGGACCACGTCCGGCAGCACGAAGCGTCCGCTCACGGCGGACGAGCGAGTGGACGACGCCCCCGTCATGTGGAGGGCGGAGGCGGGTCGCGATGGCGTTCGGCAACGCACGATGGAGCCGTCGGTCGGAAGCGCCACCGAGAGCGCCAGTGCTCGGCGGGGACTGGTGAAGTTCCAGCTGGTGGGGAGTAACTGTCGGCGTGAGAGGCCCTAGTCCGCGTGCGTCATCTGTTGGCGTTTAATCGCTGGGCGAAGGGCGCACGCAGATTGGACGAATTCGGGCTCACGGGCTCTCTCAAAGCTTATTGCCGAGAGGAGCAAAGAGTGCGTGACGCTACGAATGATGATAATGATGATGACGGTGGTGGTGGTTCGCACCCCTCGTCAGACAGAATTTCTATTCTCGGTAGAAACGGTCCCGGCAGTCCTCGGTCTCGTAATACTGTGTAAATCAGTGTAATGTGAACAAAGCTGCTTTGCACGCGCGACGAATGTTACGGCTTGTGATGGTATTCAGAAAATTCGGGTTCATTCAGGGCGCACGTAGTACGAACACGACAACTATGCACCATCTTAACGCTCTCCAGTCCAGGTCCTTCTTTACTGCCGTACAGCCTGGTCCCGCTCTATGCTAAGGCGGCTAGATGCGTGACTACTGGTCGCTTGGTCACTATCCTGCAGCTATTTCAATCGTTCTTACAGATGCTGTCATGGCACTTCGTCAACACATCTTACCGCATGAGCGAACGCGGTTCGTTGCGAGAGAAAAGGATGTAAGGAGACGCGACAGATGATCATCAACGATCTCTCTTCCATCAGCAGTATAGATGATCATACGCCGACTCCGACGTCTAAAGTTGGCGGGCGCGGTTTTGCCGTCACTGACTTGCCAAGCACACTGCGATACCCAGACCTCTCGATGAAATCGCAATGTGCTATGTGCTCACTCACTTGCACGAACGTATCCGCAAGTGAGACTCTATGTCGTGTCGCAAACCACTCCAACGAAAAGAATCTTGTGATTTAACGCTTTTTTGCCACTGGTGAGGAAAAACACTTGATGCGGTCCGCAACTGTTGTGGAGGCATAAGTTGCTCTGGTAGGATTCCAGGAGGTGTAACTGGTAAATTACTTGTGATCCATGTCTTCTTAAGCTTGTCCTCTAGATGGCGCGGTATTCTTTACGGTACCGACTGTCAGCGAAACGGCCACTTAGATGCTTGCGAACAATGACAAAAATACCGGGCCCCGTTCGAGCTACGAAACGTAAAGATGATAACGAAGTATCGAATACGCCCTACACTTCATCAAACTTCTCAAGACCGTTGGGACAACAACTGCATATTGTTCCTCGCGCTACGCGATCGACCAAGGGCTGCATCATATTTCTAATAATGTAAGCTATGCTGAGCTATGCTGACGGAAACGACGAGAAGATCACGAACCAACTACGACTGGGCTCATCGAGAGATTTATGCCGCGCGGTCCTTCAGATCACCCTGAGGTGGTCTACGAGTACTGTGACTCAGTTTGAACTCCTTACAGGACCCTCACCCCTCATTACACTATGGGGCTTTTCGGCTTAGGGGGCTTCCAGCGCCCGGCACTACACGCCCTGAGGTGCGGCCCGGTTACGCAGCCGCTCATTACTGGGCTCATCTAGACCGAAGCCTCTCCTCACGATTTACCAATATTAGGTCAGTCTGTGTATGCTGCTCTATCGCATTACGACTGACGAAAACCGCTACTGGCGAGCATGCCGCATTCTACATCATGCCGAGTGTCTGCTTTCAAAAACGTCAGAAGTTAGTAACCAACGCTCACTGCTGCGCCGATTCGTAAATGGAAGAGATCCTACCAAATTGTGGGCCTCAAAAGTTTCAATCCACACTCTTCGATTCTATCGACCAGATGCATGCCTCTCATCGCTGCGGTCTCCGTCGCCAATTACCAATATACGATGAAAATGCTTATGACGGGCACTTTCACCTCTAGGATTTATCTTTTTGCATCCACACTTGTAGTTGCGTTGGCGATTTCGACGCACCATTTGTGCAAGCAAAGTGACGGTATGAATAATGTTTCCTAACGTGCAGTTGCGAAATTAGGCTGCTAGCATGCGTCGGCACGATATGAGTAGTACGCATATCGAGAGCGTGAGGTAGAGAGTACAGTAAGAAAGACGTCGTCGGTAAGTCACGTCCGCCTTCGATACAATTTCCACCAACTTTATCAGCTGGGTTCCGTTTTTCTTTGCACCTCGACTTTGGTTTCTACATGCGATTTCGTCATTATGGCACTACGCTTGATGCAGAGTAGGATTCCCTCATTTGCCGTCCACTCACGATGGCTTCACTGAGACACAGTTTTAGCTGTGGCTTACGGAGAATTCTAAATGAAAATGAAATGATGGTCCTACTTTGCAGTTTTAGTAGATGCATGCAACAGAAACATCTCGCAGGCATGACCCCTCGGCTGATGCGTTTCCTTCGTAAAATCGATTAGCATGCATCGGGCGACACTTGGACCAGCTCCATTTGGTTACTGCATAACTATCCTTGCTCGCTTATCGCACAGACTTCTAGCACTCAAATCGAGCTACCTAGCCGGCCAGTCGAGCCGATTTACCCTGTTCCTTAAAGCTTATACCTAGTGTGCCCTTGTGAAATACCAAAGAAGAATGCGTCTTCAGCCGACAATCTGTGCACTACAGGCAGCTTACAACCCTCCATGGTGCCTTGACGTTCAGTGCACATCCGGCAGCGCAAATAATTGTCGGATTATGAGAACTGACTTGCCGCGTTTTATGCAGTTGTACTTGCGTAGTAGTCACCGGTTTTCAGAGGAATTATATTGACGCGGCGCTTGTAGTCAATGTATCTTCATTCAAGTATGAAGTGTGAATCGCGAGACGATTCAAAATCCAAGATGAGGCACGAGTCCAAACCCCTTTGTTCAGGATGAGGCATAAGTCCAAACCCCTTATGTCTATTATGTGTGCATTCGTGTGGAGGCAGAATGTAGTGCCCAATAAGAAAAGATCCCTTGATCCTGCTACCCATTTCGCCCACGTTTATGTATCAATTGGTGTCCGTGACGGATGACAGTTTTCTAAACAATTAGTCTCTAAATACCCATTCAAAATAGATTTCAAACTGTGCCGATGTGGGTTCGTACCGCCTAATTTCGTTGGCAATGGGTACACTACACAAAAATGCTTCAATCAGTGATTCCGTTCGTTGGCTGTGAGGACACAGACATGCCTGGCCCACATTGTGCTGAAGCGTACCTATGTTGTAGAAAAACTCTGCAGCAATTGGACAGTGCCGTCAGCACAAGATGCTTATGCCATGAAGCTGTGACTAAGTTTTTGACACCGGCCGTGCCTACTTCATCACAACAATTCGCGTCTACCGCTTTTATGCACACGACTGCGTGTTACACGCCTTGATTACATCCTAGTTACGTCGATTGACCCATGTTCCGCCGCTTATGGACACAATGCTTCTTGCTGTTACTGTCAAGATGTAATGAGGTGTGTACTTCGTTGCAGCTCATCACGCTCGAAATACAACAATAGCCACGTTCCCCAGCATGAGTAGCGGAAGATGACGCCTGGCGGTAGACCTTATTGTAGTAAGGCTCTATCTGTTGGCGTAAAGTTAGGTCACACGAATCTTGACAGCGAGCGATTAGCAACACGTCTTCAAGAGAGAAACGTGTCTGCACGACACCAGCGACAAGTGTGGCGACAAGTAATGGCAACCGATTGTTTACTCTATAGCGTGCGGTCGACTCGCGGTCGTTACCGCAAATGACGTCGCATTTAGCCGTTACGGGCTGCATGGCCTGACAGGCTCTCGTCTGGACCAGACGTGTACAATCCGTACAGTGGCGATACGTGAACGTATAGCAACTGCCGAGCGCTATACGCTGAAATCGCCACGCCGACTCGTAACCGCTTCGGTGCAGACCCAAAGAAATCGCTACGTTTCTACAATCTCAGGCAAAGTGGTCGTGGCGTAGGTACAGTTCGACCGCGCATAGACAGGACCGACTGGGGCTGCTCGCACTACTTTTCGCACACGCAGGAAACCTCTATCCTAGCGTGCGTGACAGGTGTACCCTCCGTCGCTGCCACGAAAGTCCACGACGCAGTCCCTGCGAGTGTACGTTCCCTGCGAAAGCCGATCCGCCCCCTCCACCCGCGTCCCCATTGACTTGCCGCACACATAAAAACACAAAAATCCGTGTGGGGTTGTGGCTACCGGACTAACGAAAGGGTTGTGTGTATGAGCACACGAATGAGCGCGTGAGTACGAGCGTCGGTCAGTGCCGCCCGCCCGCCCGCCCCACTTTCCCTGCCGTCGCCGCTCTCGCCGGCGGAAAACCGTAACGACCGACCGACCCGAACGGCGCTCGCTCGCCACTCTCTCCCTACTTTGCCGCCTCTGTCCGTCGTCCGTCTCGCGCGAGCGCGCGCTCTCTCTCTCTCTCTGTCGGCCTCTGCGTTTGTCTCTGTGTCTCTTTGTCTGGCTGACGGACTGTCGACTGTTTCGTCTGCCGATGGAGGTGGCCTCAACGGCCCAAGCGTCGCGGCCAACGTGGCGACCGCAGTGCGACTTTGAGAACCAGGAGCGCAGGAGCGAGACACGTGCAGCGGCTCTTATTCTCCCGGCAGCGCTCGAAGACGGACGTTGGGGGGAGCCCATGGACATTGACGACTTGACGCAGCTCATGGAGCTGACCGAGACGACGATCTTGACGACGCTTGACACGCGCTTCCGGCGCCACAAGATCTACACCAACACGGGCGCGATTCTGCTGGCCGTCAACCCGTTCCTCAAGATCCCCGGTCTCTACAGTCGCGAGACCATGGCCAAGTACTTGCTGTCGTGCGAAGTGCGCAACCCGCGCGTGAAAAGTAGCAGCAGCAGTAGCACGGGCACCTGCCGTGCCAGCGACTCGAGCACGCGTTTGCCGCCACATATTTATCAAGTTGCTGGAGAAGCATACAAAGCCATGATGTTGGGACTTCATGGCCCGTCGGTTGTGAGTGATCAGAGCGTTTTAGTGAGTGGAGAGAGCGGCAGTGGAAAGACAGAGAGCACCAAGTTCCTCATGGAGTACCTCGCCCAAGCAGGTGCCACTGTAGCAGCACCAGTAGAAGCTATCGACGATTCTGCTGCTGCTGTTGTTATTGCTACTGCTAGAGCAAAGTGTCCAGAAGGAATTGCTGCAAAAGTGCTGCAGACGAATATTTTGCTCGAGTCGTTTGGAAACGCGCGGACCCTCCGCAATGACAACTCGAGTCGCTTTGGCAAGTTTATTAAGCTGCATTTCACTAGTAGCGGCTGCCTCACAGGGGCAAGTATTCAGACGTATTTGCTGGAAAAAGTGCGGCTCGTGTCGCAGTCCAAGGGCGAGCGTAGTTACCATATTTTCTACGAAATTGCTATTGGCGCATCGCCAGCAGCACGAAAACGTTGGTATTTGGACCCGCCTGCTGGCCATCATACGCCTCTCGGAGACTATGGCGAAGTGACAGATACCACGCGCCAGTTTTTGCACTATCGATATTTGAATCAAAGTGAGTGCTACGAACGTCAAGACGGTGTGAAGGACGCTGACATGTTTCGACGGGTGATGGACGCCATGGACATTGTTGGCTTTACCCCAACAGAGCGCGCAGGTATTTTTGACGTCCTCGCGGCTTTGATGCACATCGGTAATTTATCTTTTGAGCATGATGAAAATAGTGATAGGCTGAGCCAGTCCATGGGCCCCGGCGTCGGCAAGTCTGACCTCGCGCCTAGCTGCATTTGGTCGCGCGATGCTGCTGCTTCGCTCATGGCTGTTGATGCTACTAAACTAGAGCGTGCGTTGAGTATGCGGCGGATTCGAGCTGGTACGGACTTTGTGAGCGTGAAGCTCTCTGCAGCTCAGGCAAACAACGCCCGTGATGCACTTGCCAAGGCGTTGTACGGTCGTCTGTTTGATTGGATGGTGACAAAGATTAATCACTTTCTCAAAATGGACGACAGCCAGAAAGCCAAAGGCGGTCTGCATTTTATCGGCATTCTTGACATTTTCGGCTTCGAGGTGTTCCCAAAGAACTCGTTCGAGCAGCTATGTATCAACTTTGCCAACGAGACGCTGCAGCAGCAGTTTAATGACTATGTGTTCAAAAGCGAGCAACGGGAGTACGAATCGCAAGGTGTCGACTGGAAGTACATTGACTTTTGCGACAACCAGGATTGTGTGAGCTTGATTTCACAGCGACCGACCGGCATCCTCTCGCTCATTGATGAAGAGTGTGTCATGCCTAAGGGGAGTGACATGACGCTAGCATCCAAGCTGTACCGAGCGTGCGGTAGCCACCCGCGGTTCGAGGCATCTCGAATTCAGCAGGCGCGTGGTCAGTTTACGATTGTGCACTATGCAGGCCATGTCGAGTACTCGTCAGATGGGTTTTTGGAGAAGAATAAAGATGTCCTTCACCAAGAGGCAGTGGATATGCTCGTGTATTCTACACGAGAAGACAGCTTTGCTCGCACGTTGTGTGAGGGAATTGGTGGCTCGCGTGATCGTGCCAAGACGTCGTTACGTCAACGTGCACAGACCAGCAAGAATCGCGGCGCGAGTGTCGGTGTGCAGTTCAAGGAACAGCTGACGACATTGTTGGAGACGCTGCGGCAAACGAATCCACATTATGTGCGTTGTCTGAAGCCAAACGAGCTCTGCAAGGCAGGCATTTACGAGCGCGATCGTGTATTGAAGCAACTGCGCTGCAATGGTGTGATGGAAGCAATTCGTGTGGCAAGAGCGGGTTACCCGGTCCGTATATCACACGATGACTTTGTCGCGCGCTATTTCTGTTTGAGAAGGCCTCACGACCCTTTGTCGGCCAAAAAGCGCACGACCTCGATAAGCTTGCCCAATACAGCCTCTGGCGAGGGGGCGACGGTTGTCAGCATTGAGGTGAAAGAGCTTTTGCAGGGCTTGCTTGACGTGATTCCGAAGGAAGATGGTGCGAATCCGCAGGGCGCATGCGAGCAGCCTGACCAGGGTCAGTTCGCCACGACGTGTATATCAGTGGGTATCCAAGTGGGATCATCGAAAGTGTTTATGAAGAAGCCGGCGTATGAGTTTCTCGAGGAAATGCGCACGAAACGTCTTCATCGCCATATGATTAAGATTTTCCACGTTGTGTTGTGTGTGACTGCACGCGCGCGCTACTTGAGATACCTTCATGTTGTGAAGACACTGCAAATCCGATATCGCTACAAGAAAGTTCAGAGATTGCGCCGTCGCCGCCAACGAATGATGACTCGAATGAGAAGTGCAGCCAGAATACAAGGCTTTGTTCGCACGGTGGTGCAACACAAGAAGTTTGTGCGCTTTACAAGCGTGGTGCGGATGCTGCAGTGCCGTTTCAGGTATCGCCGAAGGCTGAAATCGAAGCGCAAAGCAGACCTTGCTCGGAGACTTGCAGACCTGAAGCGTGAGAAGCAGATGCAGGCAGTGACTCAGTGTACAGCAAGTCCGATTGCTTCTTCCGACTCGTCATCGTCCCGTTCAGTCACCTGTAGCTCCAACGAAATTGAAGGCTCTGGTACGTCGGACGTGTCGGATTATTCGTCCGACGACCAGTTCACGTACAACGACACGTTTCCGAAGCACAATTTAAACACTGTGGATGAGCAAAGCAGTGAGATGATGCCTCGTACGTCCAGTCGCTTGTCCATGCGCAAATCTCAATCCATTGACTCGATTACACCAATGAGCGCATTTCGACCGTCACGAGCGGTTGGTGACGTTTCAGGGGGACCTAATGGCCGGGAGTCAAGGTCCCGGGTACCGTCGCGTAAGTCGTCTTTCCGCATCACTCGGTCGTCCCGCGCAGTAGCACTTCCTCGACTCGACGTGATTCAGCACACGTCGTGGGTCAATGACGAAGACCGCTTTAGTTGCCACATCTGCAACAAGCGCTTCAACATGTTTAAACGCAAACATCACTGCAGAGCGTGCGGCGAGGTCATTTGCAACAGCTGCTCCCTGTATCACCGAATCCAGTCCCGATCCATGCGAGTTTGTGTGTCCTGTGTGGCATTTCATTCCCTGGACAGCCCCACCTCGGCCGGATCGACGGGTTTCTTGCGCCCTGACGGTAGCAGTGTCCACTCGTCCAACTCGAGCCGAAAAACTTCGAATGGCTCGGCCGCAGATCGGAATCGCAGTAGTACGCTTAGTAGCGGTGTGTGGTTGAACACGTGGCCCGAACCGCCGTATCCTGTCGATGAAGACGAGCGCTTGATAGTGCTGCGCGAGCTCAATATCCGCGAGCTGGGACTGTCGGGCAAGTTCAATATGTACTGCGAAGTTGCAGCCAAGACGATGAAGTGCCCGATCGCGTACGTGAGTATCATTGAGGATGAAGAGCAGCACTTGGTGGCCAACATTGGCATGGCACATACGACGCTCCCTCGCGAGCTGTCGTTTTGTGCGCACACGATCTGTCAGCCCAGTGTGCTGGTGGTGCTGGACACAAAGAACGACGACCGCTTCCGGGACAACCCGATGGTCAAGGGCGACAAGGGGGCAGTAAAGATTCGCTATTACGCGGGTGCGACCATCTTCTCGCGCGACGGCCATGCGCTTGGCACAGTGGCAGTACTTGACACGAAGCCAAGACGGGAAGCCGATCAGGAGCACATTGGTATGCTGCAGCACTTGAGTTTCTTGGCGAGCGAGAAGATGACGCAGAGCACTCTTCAAGAAGATAGCGACGGCGAATGTCCCTGAGCTAGCCAGCAACGAGCTGAGGGATTGTCCAGTGTGCCCGGTAGCAAGTATTAGTAAGCAGTGCAGCAATCGTATTCCCTTCCACAAGTAACGCTCTTTCGGTGATCGTGGCGAAGTTTCGTGCATGTCGACAGGGCGACGTAAGGGTTTGCGCTAGACGGTGTTATGTACACCCATTCGGTGAGACGAGTGTGTGTACTCTTCAGTGGCAAAGAGACCCCGAGCAATGGGCCGAGGGACAATCTCAGCCCGTGTAAAGCCACCGTAGTGGACAACACACATGTTGGTGACGAGCCCATTTCTATCGTCACTGAGCCAGTACCAGTGTTTTGTTATTCGACGGCTCGTCACTGCGTGCAACACACGGCCTCTCTCTTTCGACCGCGCTTTATTTTACAGCACGCCGTATTCTACGATCGTGGTACGTCGCGAAATGCGCCGGACCGTAATGATTGTGCCGTGCAATGTCGCTGCGCTATGTCGGCTCAGCGGTTTTTGACACAATGGCACGAAGGCCACGCAACGCTTGTGATACAACTGTCGTCTCCGGTCAACGACTGAGTTCGAAATACCACAGACCACAAGTCGTCTGTCCGTTCCTTTCTCTTGTTGTCTGTCGCACGAGCAGAGAATCACGAGGCCGTGACTGCCGCCCTAGTTTAGTGTACACCTGATGTGCACCCAGCGCACGTAAGACCCACTTGGCGCAAAGGTCGGCCAGCAAAGTACGAACCGCTCGTGGCGGACTGCTCATGGATCTCCCAGAGCTGAAAGGTGCGCTGGCGCAGAGCTGCCACTACACGTCTTGACTCCTTCTGCACGTGACGCGAACGCTGCACTCGTTTCTTTCAGGTTATTTGCGCAAGAAGTCGCGTCACAATCGATGGCAGCGCCGCTACTTTGAAGCCACGACGCACTATTTAACGTACTATAAGGTACGCACAATGCGCGTTCGCTCGGGGCGGAAAGCGACGATATGTATATACATGTATATGTATGTATACACATATACACATGCATACACCTTATAGGAAGAAGAGTGGCATAAGGACGCAGCGCTCGGGTCTACCGGTGCCGTATATTTGATTCGTATCGTTCGTTTACGTGCAGACCCGCGAGAGCGATAAGTTGCTGGCGTGCATCGACTTGTGGCGCACGCAGACCATCGACTTCCACGCGGGAGACGACGACCAGCTCGAGTTTTCCATTCTGATTGGCGACCAGTCGTATTTGCTCAAGGCAGACTACCCGGACGATGCGGCGCGATGGGTGCGGGGGCTCCAGGCACGACAGCACCGGCCTGAGGGGACGCCCTCCGAGGCTTTTAGTCTGCGGAGCGAGCACATGGACGCCGAAAGCGACGCGTCGTCTAGTGATTACAATGGCCGACGTCCTCGAGCTGCGTCTTCTGACAACGGGTCCGTATCTGGCAGTCGTCGCTCGTCCTTGTCCGTGTCCTCGTACGTCGAGGCGCAAAACCCCGTCGTCCCGAACGCGGACGCCATTGCAAGGCAGTCGCTATCACACGCGGATGCGCCGAATCCGGTGGTGCCGAACGCGAATCTGATTGCTCGCGCATCGTCCTCGCATACAACAGCGAACAGCATCGCTGGCCCAAGTGCTGTTTCGGTGCCGGGACTCAAGTATCCCATGGTGATAACGAACCAGAAGGTGACGCGGTCTGTCGTGGCAAAGAATGATGCAAGTTCGGCCCGAGACGACGAGCATCGTGCTGACGCGCAGTGCTGTGCGCCGTGCTCGATCATGTAGAAGACAACGAGACAGAAATCCTATTATTCGTTTTTTCGACGGCGATGCAAGCAGTGAGTCGCGGTAAGTCGCCACAATCTGTGGAATGGCTCTGAGGCAGACAGAATGAAGCTCCACGCATTCGTCACGTTCGTAAACCGTACGGCAGCCAACAAGGCCATGCATTATGCATGTGTGAGAGATCCAGGATGGCTGATACAGTACATCGATTGCACTGCTACAAGAGACGGCACCGCATATAGTGCACCATCTTGCATAGCCAGCAACAACGAGATGTCCTTTGTCATCGACCACTTCCAGCTGGGTTGAATACAAAAGCGGTTCAACAGATCGTGATGAAGCAACGCGGTCATACAAACAACTCGAACCTTTGATTGATTAAAAGAAGAACTCGCTCATTCGCTGTCTGAGCTGAGCAACCACTACAGGGAGGAACACTGACTACAAACATCATGAGTGAGTCGTGCGTCAGACATCACACGGCACATTGATCAGCTCGTCGTCTTCGTTGTAGCAGACGATTTTACCATTGGTTTTTGTTTCGGATTTGTCAACGAACGCCAAAGCCATTGCAAGCCAAGCAGTTGTGACACTCGAATTGAACAAGGCCCAATGCCATAGTCGTCGGTCTCACTTTACCCTCGAAGATGACGATTGGTACGATAGCGACACTGAGCGCGACGGTCACTTGTTAGCTCCTAGTAGCAAAAGATTACTACCGATAACAAATCCGCTTGGCAGATGTTCCTCTCAGCAAAAAAGATCCTGAACGTATTGTTCGTCGACGTGCCAACCGCAACTTTCGACGGCGGCAAAGATGTGGGTAGCATACGACCGATGTTGCAACGGGTGTTGACAGTCAAAGACCAATCAACCGATGAGTTCTGTGCACGCAGCGCATAGTAAATGAAGCGTACGACCTTGATATAAAAAGGTGCAAACAGCATTGGCAGATGTAAGCTTTCGAGGTAACATTTGTCGTGTCGCGGTTTCAGTAGAAGCAACTCACGATACGGACCAGTGATCGCGTCCACGCTACGAGCGGTATGCACGACAGATGGTACGATGTTTCCATTCACATCAGCGTCACCTTCTTCAGTACACATGCAGCTCCATAGCTTCATTCTGTCCAGCTCCTTTTGTTAGTACGTTTATGGGAGCTATCGATCTTCATTGAACTCAAACTGGAGGCTGCAACACCAGAAGCAGCTGTAAGGCTCGCGGAAGTCGACTAAGCAAAAGAAAAACGGTTGTATCAGTATCATTACAGGCGCGTTGGGTCGTATCACAAGTGTGCCAATCTACGACAGCAACTGCGACAGAGGCCGCAAAGGGGTTAAGAAGGGCAGGTATTCCACACAACCACACGATGCTTGCAAGATGAGATACAAGGGTGTTTGCAAAAAACGCCAATATGTCTCCAAATCACAACAAACAGAAGCAACAGACGACTGTTTGTTGCTCTCTTAGCAAGTCCAAATTTGTCAACCTTTGCTCCAGTGAAAGTTCCAGCCCACTCACTTTCTGATGCGAACAAGGAAAGAGGAATGACAAGTTGGACGTATAACGACGGGTCACTGGAAAGGCCGCTACGGAATTGAATGGAGACATGGGCACTCGCGCAAAATCAATGTGCGATCGTAAGTATGAGAAGTGCGACGTTTTATCTCTCGAAGGGTGACAACGGGAGAACGGTCTACATCGTATTCCAGACGGCCCCGCTCGTAAAAAACTCTGATAACGTTCCTACAACGCGAATTGAGCTCAATGGGAATCATTCATCTACATGAAGTTCTATGATTTATCAAGGGACTCGAGAGACAACACAGAGATCTGCTACAAAACGATCGACTGCCAGCAGTGTAATGTAGAACAGCCACCACCAATTGCAGCTGTCGTGTTTCGACGCAAACACCACGCTGCATATTGATATCCATTCATCCGTCTCGTATCACCGTGTCATTGTCGCTGCACGAGATTGGTCATCCTTATTTACCACAACCGAAAGCCCGGTAAGCCACCAGCTGCGTTCGCATCATGACGCACTTTGTGAGCGACTTCGTGCTACTGAACATCGGGCTCTTCGGAAAGGCGGGTAGACGTTTACAAGACGCGAACAGATCAAGGCCATCAGCCTGGGAGAAGTTGGTGCGTTAACATAAGCATTATCCTGGCTACGACTGCCCCTGAAAACGCGTATAAAAACGGTGGATGGTACGGCTGACGATCCAGACTTTGTACGGCAATTCGTTTCGGCAGAATGTCACAATGGACTACATACTGTAAGATCAGTCGCGTATGATTCGATTGGACATGGAATGGAGCAGTGTTCGCGATGCCCTTTTGCTCGACGATTCGCGTCAGGTCGTCGTCCGCAATGGTAATGATCCGCGAATATAGCGCTTCAGCATGATCAGCATTACATGTGGATGCCGAGTGTGTGCAAGGCAATCGACTTCTGAGTCGATGACTCCCACTCCACATCGCAAGCTGCCTCGCATACACCACAATTCAATCCACATTGCAGTCCACTCCGTTAAAAACGCTTCCAGACTCTTGATTACAGATCTACCGACTAGCGCTGCTGCAATGTGTTGTAGCAAAGAAACAATCGCATACCCAGATGCAATCAATGCCTCGTAAGTCGTCAATATTTGTTGTTCACTAGTGTCGAAGTTGCTGAGCTTATCACGTCGTGGGGGTACTGCACCACACCACTATTACGTAACGGTCAAAAGAAGCGTCGTGTCAAGAATGTCAAATTCAAAGTCTCCGCTACACGACACCGCATTGCAGCCATGGGGGCGTCTGACGGTACGTGGCTGCGCTCTCTCCCAGCCCCGCTCGTCTCCCCTTTGTTTATCGGCCCCGCACAAATACACGTACAGATCTGGACAATGGATCGCCTGTGCTTTCCCTCATCGCTGTGTGCAATTGATGGCAGACGACGACCACAAGAAGCGCAGTATCAATGAGATGTTTGGCGACGAGGACTCGGAGGACTCTGGCGACGAACAGATACCTCGTCGTGCGTGCTGTAGCATTTGCATGAATCTTTGTTGACGAGTGAGCCCATTCGTGCTGAGCGCTGATGGGCTGTGTCTTTATTTGCTTGTGGAACGCTATTTTTGACAGCTGCGGCCTCGACTACAGCAGATGCCTCGGGGTATTTCCGACATTTATTTTTGACTGCTCGTCACAGCGGTACATTGATCCCGTGTCCATGATTGGTGCTGGTATTGTATAATTGCTGCAGATTGTTTGGCTCGGACTCGGACAGCGGCGACGAGGAAGAGAAGCCAACGAAACGTCCCTTGCCACCGTCTGTCAAACGCGTCAAAAAGTCTCGTGACGACGATGGAAGTCGCACCCAGCGCGATGAAGGCGATGAGTACGACTCTGGAGAAGACGCTGTGACTACTAAGGACGATGAGGACTTTATTGATCGGGACGACGATCTGGCAGATGTGCTGGGCGAGTACGCCGAGGACCGTCAGCAGTTCGATGACGAGCGTCCGATGGAGGAACGGGAGCCGACGCAAGAGCAGAAAGATGACTTTTTTGACCGAACACTCAAATCTCTCAAGACCGGACGCGCTCGGACGAAGTTGAACTTGTTACCGCAGGAGATGGAGCAGATTACACAGGAAGTGCTCTACCGAATGGACAAAGCCTATGCAGACGACTTAGCGAGTATTGCAGAACGTCGTGTAGCGCTAGAAAAGATCAAGTTTGTCGACAGCGCCCTCCATATCCTGCGCAAGATACAGTTTCAGCCCATGTTGTTGGACTTCGATCTGCTGACGGTACGTCAGAGCTCACATGTACTTGCTTGTTGAGGTGAGAGTCGTTGGCACGCAAGGTGATAGCGCTGACTCTGAAGTGCCGAAACAGATTGTGAAGAAATGGATCCAGCCTTTTGAGGACGGCACGCTGCCGAATGTCGGCTTACGTACGAAGATGCTTGACATGGTCAGCAAAATGCCAGGCATGTCGTATACGTCTCACTCACCCCGTCAGCTTTTTGCAATGGATCCTTGACTATCGCAGCTTGTTTGTTGGCGTAGTTTTCAAGGAGCATCTCAAGCGCAGTGGACTCGGAAAGGTTGTGATGCTGTTGATGAAACACCCACAGGAGGTACGACGCGTAATGGTTTGTCAGAGCTTCTATAGAGAGGTAAAACTAACTTGTATCTGCATGCACGGTAGACGCCTGAGAACAAGGAGCTGTGCCGCAGTCTCGTTGAACGCTGGAGCCGCGCGGTCTTCAACAAGACTCTAGATTTCTCGAAGCTTGCTGAGCTAGAAGCCGAGAAGGCTGAGAACGAGGCTTATCGCCGTCGTGGACGCCTGTACGATCTGTCGTTTCGTGGAAATGGTCGCTGCATTGTCGTGTAGTACTGATATCCTAGCTGTGTTGCAGGCGTAGACAGAAGCAGTCAAAGAGCAAAGGCCGCTCCACTGACCGGGGAAGCAATGTGTTCAACGCCCGTGGTGCCGACAGCGGTACCAAGACTGAAGCGTCAGAGCGTGCAGAGTTGCCAGAACAGCTTCACATTGATTTTCTGCTCCGCCCTCAGTCCAAGGTGGACATGAATGCCGTGCAGTCGAAGAAAGTGGACTCAGATTCTCGCAAGGCGCGCTTGACGAAGCGCATGCAAGAAATCGCTAAGCCTGGAAAAAAGACCAAACGCGCTACAGGTGTAAGCATCGAGGGCAGATGAGCTGCTCGGACATCAGTAAGCGCATTGGCACGCGCTGTGGCGGAAGATGTGGTCGCAGACCTCTCGATCTGCCTGGCTACAGCCACCAAGTTTCCTGTGCAACTTGCATACACGTTGTTTCCCGCTATAACGTTTTCCCTTTCTAGCATCAATGCTATCTCATTTTGTGCGCTGACAATCCTGTCCATGGGTAGTGATCACGTCTGACACATTGTATCGTTGTTTGTTGCTGGAGTCGAGCTAGGCCGACGTCAACCTGAAATGAGGGAACACCTGCATCAGTGCAGACTCCACACGGGTCCAAATGCCTAACTGCGCCACCAATGGACGGCAGTCGACTGCGCGCCGTCAAGCAAATTGTGCCAGAACCCAATGTTGATTGCCGCGATCACGAAAATGTCGCCGCTTCAAGCCTTTGACCTGGCAAGTCGACAGAACACTGACTGGGATGGTTTAGTTAGTTGTGACCGAGCAGTTGCACGTGAAGCGACGAGAACGGATCGAGTTCGTAGCTTGGCTCAAGCGCATGAAGTTCGCACCAGTGGCTGCAGAAAGTAATCCATGAGCGATTCAAACTGCCGACGAACGAAGAATGCCAGGGGCAGTGATCGGGGTCTACTCAGCCTTTGCCACGACCAGCAGTCTCAGCTTAGCTGCCTGCGAACATGCGTCCTGGGCAGCAAGAGCGTCGGCCAATCGTCATACCTGAGCTTTGCGGGTGCCGTCGATGTCAATGTCGACGCCTGCTTCATCTGAGACGACGAACAGTCACGCGCAAAGCGTTTGAGGTCGAGTTCAGCTCCGTGAAAGCCAGCTGCAACCCATGAAAACGCTCAAGTTTTGATGGGCCCCTCGAGAATCGAGAGCACATCAAGTTTGGCACTCGCTTTCGCTCGAACAGTTTGCTGATGGAATCGAACACTGCGAAGCGAAAAGTATCGCGTCGGAACGGAGTCAAGAGCTTTTGTGCCAGCACGAATGGTATCGCCAAGAATGCCATCTACATAGAGCACAAGACATCGCCATGAAGATAGCCGACGTGCCTGCCTCCCCACGTCAAAATCACATCGAACGGGATCGGCACAGCCTCGCAAATCACAGGCGCGGCGTGCGTGATCAAGTCCGACTCTTTCAGGCATAACACGCCTTGACCGCCAAACCCCTTTTCGGCTTCGATACTGATCGCGATGTGCACTCCGCCGTTTACTGCCTTGGTAATGGCCGAGTGCGTCACCCCATTGGACATTGCCTCCTTCCACGCCACTGTGCGGAAGTTCGTGTAGGCCAACTGGGACTCCTCATCGTCGTCCACACGGGCGCTGGACTGAAAGCCATTCTGCACCAAGTGGGCGACTTCGTACACTTTTCGCTGAAGAGCGTAGATATCCTCTGACGGTAAAGGGAAAATGGTCGAGATACTTACGGGCTCCACTGGTATCAGCTCATTTCGAGGAGCTGCGAGGGCGGAAAGACGGTCGCTGATCTCGGCTAAAGGCTGTGCTGCTACCGCCAGCCCAGCCGTGTGATCCGAGTGCTGGTTGAATGTGCCTGTTCTCGAACTTGCAGTGCTGCGGGGGCGTAGTCGACTCGTTCGCAGCACACGTGCGACCGCTTGTGCAATCGATGGCTTCCTGGAATTCACCAGCAACTGGACACTGTGTCGAGACGATCCAGTGCTACTTGCTCTGCTGCTCGAGTGAATCACATCATGACTGCTGTGTCTACCTGTGGTGTGATTACTCGAGTGAGCTGATTCATGCCCGCGCCGGCGATGTCCATTGACCTGCACGAATGAACCACAGTCACGCTCTCCGTACGTCCAGATGTTTGCATCCAGCTTCACTAGCTTAATCTTGAACTCATGCACGTCTTTTTTGTCGCGTAAAGCATAGTTGCCCTGCCGCAAGTCTGCAACTGCAGCTTCGTCCAGTTTATAAGAGAAGTAACGGTCGATCTCGAGCTCGTAGATGCTACAAACCGGTTTGTGAGTGGACGTTACAATGTCCTCACACGACCAGTAGCCGACGTTCCTGATCCGCTGCTTGGTATCGTTCAAGGAGTGTATCATGACACGGTCCTTGTACGCCGGCCGACACTCCTTGCCAAGCGTTTCCCCGTTGGTTTCGCAAAACAGTTCTTGGCACGAGGGCTCACCGACCATTGAAAACGAAGCAGCCACACCGATCTTGCGTGGAAAGGAAGGCAAGAACTGAATCGGAGGCTCTTCGAATCCAGTGAAAATTTCTTTCGCCTCGATTGATGCCCGCAGCTCGTCGTAACGAAGCACTTCCAGCCACTTGCGAGCCGTATTCTCAGTCACAAGATCCGACTTCGCCATCAAATCTCGGATCTTCTTGTAGTTCCGTGGTGTAAAGTGGTCGCTACATGCCTGGCGATCCATGGCGCGATGTTTGCAAGCTAGGACAGATATCGCCCGACGGTTTTCAGGAGCATGTGTCGGTAGTTGGCTGTCCAAGAAAGAAGCCCAATCAGTCGGCCAAAAGGTCTCATCGATTTCTCCATCCTCTTCGTGGATGATAATTGCCGCACTGTCTGCATCTCGCTCGTCCGCACGGACCTTGCGAGGACTCAGTTGCTGTTGGTCCTTAGTGGGTGACTTGAGCATGGTAATTGGAATGCCATCCTCACAAAAAGTGTAAACCTCCTCGTACCTGCCGTCATCGCTCGCTGACGACGAAGATCTAGGACTGCTTCGCCGGAAACTCCGTCCAGGGCAACCGTAGCTTTCCTCCACCTCAAAGTCGTCGAGTTGGGAAGTTGCATTCTTCTTGCTATTGCTGGTCTCTGAATCGCAAACTGCTTTGATTTGGGCGTCGATCGCGATATCCGTTGCACTCTGCAAAGATGCAGCCTTGTATGCTTGGTCGATTGCTGCTGTCAGCATCGATGTTGACATATCGATATCGTAATTCAAGTTTCCAGAAACGATCGTGTGGTGATACAAATTCGGAAAGTCCACTGCTGCTCGGTCCGCGTCCATGCAAAAGGAGTGAATGAGGCTCGAGGCGACCGCATGCTTCGCGTACAACCCGCCTTCCATGGGTCGATCGAGTCGCTGTGAGCCGTTGGAGATTGAAGTGCTGAGGTTGCACGAAACGAATGCAATAGACACACCGAAGTATCGGATGGGGATGCCAACTACCTCATCGAATGTCTTTCGCTGGGCCCAGATACGTCCATCCGCTGCATCGAGCTTCACGTTACCGCTAGTATCGTCGGCATTGTTTACAAACACAATTTGACACACGGACGCCTGTACAACGACATCACACCAACCTCATTAGATACTGCAGTCGTCTCCTTCACAACAAAAGTCAACTGGGTACCCACATCTTGAACGTGGCCTCGCACCGCTGTTCCAGCAATTGACGTAATGGATCGATAGGCAATGGGGTAATTCACCTGTAGAAGATACCCTCGGATCACCTGCTCTATGGCTTGCACTTCCACACAATGTTGTAGTGAAAATACATACAGATCTTTTCCTGCCGGGATCCAATCCTCCAAATTTAAAGGACACGGCGACCAGTTCATGTCAAAAGTTGTAACAAAGATGGCCACTGTGCCCATGTGCTGGCGCTCCTGTTCTCGCAATAGCACCGATTGTCGCAGCATGCCGTCTACGACCTTGCTGTTCTTCGTAGACAATGCACCGCTACTGATCCAGGGCTCGCGAACGTGACGGACGACCCAGATGTGGAACTTGCCATAAATGACAGCGTTTATAAAGCCTTGGAGCGGCACGATTGCTGCATGCAGCAAGTCTAGTGTGAACGACGACTTGCCCGTATAGCTAGCATAAGCACGGTGCACCACGGCCGGCAGCCAGCAAAAAATGAAACTTGAAACGTAGAGGGTGAGGTTGTGCACCACTGCGTAATAAGCATCGTTCGCATCTTCGTTGACGTGCGTCTTGAGTCTCCTCTTCATATTTGTCTTGACGAGCACGAGGAAAACAGTCATGGCACTGCCACCTACGATGACCCAGAAGTAAAGGGCACCAAACATCCACCAGAGTTCCTGGGTCGAGTCGTGTTCGACCACGACCCAGCACCAGAGACCTGCGTCACCAAACTTGTTACAGATGAGGCACACAGTGGGGATGCCTAGGGCGATCAGCATCGTGCTGGCAATGTACCACTTGATCTTTTTCATGAGCATTTGCTGGTCCTCGCCCATACACACCCAGCGGTACAAATTGAGCGTCATGATAAAGTTCCACGCAATTGGAGCGCCATCTCCAAACGTAATCACTAGAGACCCCGACAACAAAAACACAGACACCCACACACCGCACACCAATCATTGTAATCACAATCACAACCACAGCAATCACACATCAGCCGTCACGCGCGTTAGTAGAGCCCGTCATGTGGTGCGCACACTCAAAACGTCACAACAGCGCAATCTTTTCGTACGGAAAGCTTGCAGCTTGCACACGGAGGTCACAGGTTCGCCTGCTTGCTGGTCGAACGTCTCGGTCGGCAGTACGCCCCACGCGCGCCCCGTCGCGCCAAACAGGTCCTGCCCCATCGCACACAAATCACACGGCGTCACCCAAGAACCCCAAAAGCGGTCAGCACCCACACACACCCACACACACACCCCACAAATACTCACTTGCTCTCGCTCTACAGACGGGACAAGTACGTACCAGGTACGCAATGACGTGGATGAGCTCCTTCGTCACGTCGAGATGATGGGGCGAGGCGGCGTACACGGAGAGCAACTTGGCTTTGAGTCGGCGCGCGTACCAATAGCGGCCGATGATGTAGAAGGCGCCAATGATGGACAGCACAGAGGACATGGCGGACACGAGCGTCAACGCGCGCAGGTCGCTCTTGTCCGTGTACGACGACTGCGGCGCCATGGGGACGTCTGCGTGGAGGGGCTGTGGGTGGCGCTGCACGTCGAGCGCTGCGCTGCAAACTGTGGAATCGGTCTCGAGACACTGGTGCGGGAGCAGTGGGACGAGTTGAGGAGACCGATTGACCCGCGCGCGTCGTTTTTGCACGCTCTCGCGGTCGGGTTCCTCGCTTGGCGCAGTGGGCTTTGGGGCACGTTTTGTCACGCCAGCGCTCGGGCCGCCTGATGCAGCGCCTGGTGGGCACCCGCCTCTTTCTGTTTATATTGCAGGACGGACGCAAAAACAGAGCCCCACGCGAAGGAAAGAAAAGACAGTCGCTCGTGCTTTCTTGAACACAGGCAGACAGGCCGATAAACAGGTCGATAAACAGGCCGATAGATAAACAGGCAGACAGGCCGAGAGGCAGACGGACGGACTGACAGACTGAGAAAAAAAGGAAGGAAAGGGTCCGCGTGATGGCCACAGCGGACCTGACCCGGGGCGCAGAAAAGACGGCCCGAACGGATGGTGTGTTTGGGGTCTGTGTCCGGGCCACAGCTGCGGTTGAAGCGCTTGAGAGACCGAAAACAGACTGCACAAAAACGAGCCGCACTTGGCCAGTGGCGAGCCGTCCGGAGCGTTGGCTGCTTCACTCGACCGGAAGAGGCCTCGAGACACAGCGCGTCGTCGTGGACGTGCAGTCTGGTGGGGCGACAGGGACACGAGTGCGCTGCTGATGCAACTTGTAGAGACGACGGCGGTTGGAGTCGCGGCAGTTAGTGCGCTATTGCTGCAAAACGGGTGCTACAGGTTGAGGTGCTGATGCTCTTGCGACTTGTTGGGGTGTGATTCAGCCATTGTCCGCTCTCGAGAAGGGGACCGAAGACGCAGGTGGACGGCAGAATGGCGTTCGTGGCACACGAGAGCTGCTGAACTCGTGGGTGCTGTCGACACGACTGACTGGGGGGAGGGAACGTGGACTGAAGATGGGCTGCTCGGTTGAGATTCGGGTCGACGACCAGTCGCTTGTGTGCGAATAGCGTTCCCTGTGCTTGCGCTTCGCTCGGATCGTGGAGGCCTTTGCACCTTGACGTGCTTGGACCATACAGTCTGCCTCTGCGTCGTGACGGGAACGAACGAGACCTCGACACAACCGCCAAAGCGCTCCTCTTCGTCAGCAAACAGGTGTGGTACCGTCGGCCCTCGATTGAAATTGTTTCTGCATTGTTCAAGGCAAGGAACGAGTGACCACATGATGCTGCTGCTGCTGCTAGGGTAGATGAGGATTTGTACGTGAAGCGAGCAGCTTACAGCCACGAGTGCAAGTCTCTTGCCTGCAAGCGCCGAGCAGTGTCTCTGAGATGTCACAACACGGCTGGAACATTCACGATCGCCTTCGTGCTGCGATCCCTTGAGCCCTCTCCAGCTGGTTATCGATACCTGGAAAGTCGCGTAAACCACCAGCACGTCCATCGTGTCGTACTGTGCCACCACGCCGGGAGCTCATGTTGTCAGGACTACCATGACAGCATAGTAGTCAGCCAAAGTGTTCTTCAGACAGGCACATTTCGTTCTTTCGACAAAGTCCAAGTGCAATTGCAGAAGCACTACGGTTGACGAGGAGATTGCCACAGCTGGTTCGAGCGTGTGGAGTTTTCTCCCACGTGTGTTTGTCGCCATTCGAGCAAGCGAGACCCATGGGAGATGTCGGACCCGACACGAACAAGTTGACATCTGTATTTTCTGAAGACAAGAGCAAGTAAGTGGTAATAAGCTGTGGTGACTATCTCTGTGTGGACACTGTGACTGCCGTGTGAAGCTCGACGGCATACGAAGAACCTCTGCTCGACACGGACGCAAAGAGCATGACTGAGGCGACGGTCTGGGGAGTCATCATTGCAGCTGAATCGAACGAAGGCACCGTCAAGTCATGATGAAAGACTGCCTCGCTATCAGTGGCCGCGTTTCCATTGATCGTGTGTGCTTCGTGAGTACGGGGCCAGGAATACGATGGCATGCAGATCTTGTGAGAAATACATTTGCTCATGCAGACACTAGTTCCGGGCTCTAAACTCGCCGTCCATTGTTTGTCGACGAATCTGACCTTTACGGCAATTGGCGGCTCGCGCTCGGGTATCTGATTCAGCTCTGCGATCCCTCAGCATTCCTACCAGCAGCAGCTCCTTTCAGCGTTGATGAATGCGAATATCTCATCGTCATAGCGCCACTGTCTTCCTGCATTGCCTGGGCTGAATCCCTCATCTTTGCTTTACTCGCATGCGCCATCGCAGACAGCTATACGGTCTGGACTGCTATAATGTCACGGGCGCACAGATACCGTCGCTTCTTCTCGATTTCTGGGACTCGTTTGCTGGACTAGTGCCGGTTTCAACACCTTCTCATCGTGTTAAGCCACTCTCGTCCACGGGACAGGCGTAGCGCCGCTTTGTTCATGCAGCACAGTGTGAATAGGTGCTTCAAGTCTACGGTGCTATCGACGTTTCTCATCTCCAGCACGACACTTTCCATGCAACTACACCTTTCGATGTCAACACGAGACGATGTCACAAACTTTGTCGCGACTTCGAAGGCAACAAGTCCGACTTAACTGGACTTCTACGAGCACAACAGCATCAACGACGTGTCGAGGTAGAAGTTGGACCCGAGTTGTTGAACGCCATTGCTCCATATCCAAAGCAAGTAGTCGGTCGCAACAAAAGGAGAGCGACCGAGCCAAGCTGTAGCTTTTGGCCTCCTCAACGCATACACGGCAGCATTTGGTACGGTCGACGCGAGCAAAGTTGTATGACAATTTCGGTTTCTTACCACAGAATCTATCGATGGCGTCTTCGTCTTAGCAATCCGATCATCAGGATGGCGGCTCACATTTGCTAAGCCGCACGCAAATGTTGGCAGGATGTTCGCCTTTTTTGCTGGCTGCTAAGAATGGAGTTACCATTGCACAAATAGATCCAACCGATGCCCCCAAAAAACTCAATGCACGTCGTTTCTCGGTCGTTTATCTGCAAGTGTCGCTGAGCGTCTGGATCAGATTCGGCCTAATGCCCCAAGCAAATGTACTTCGGGCGCCGCGGACGCCGGTAGAGAGAAGGACATGTGCACAAGTGTACGAGCTTCTCATGTCATTCTACAGCTCGTGGAAAGATGGGGTGTTATCGTTGCATGTCATCACCATCACCAGACCACTTCACAAGGCCTATTCAGTCTACAGCAATTGCCGTTGTTTCCTCGTGGACCAACAATGCCGTTATGGATACTCACCGCGTTTCGCGCCGAGCTGCTCTTGTTTTCTCAAAGAACGTTCCGACTGAGTGAGCGACAAACGAGGCAGTTGTGTTGGCTTGAGAAAGTGTTTGTAAATCTCACCTCGCTGTCGTATTTTCTGATGTTCGTGACTGAGATTTGACGCCACGCGAGGCACGCGAGGCACAAGTCGGTCATAGACATTTATTTCTCTCCTCTTGCGTACTTTGTTCGAGCTAATACTCTCGTGATCAGGTGCGAGATACTTACGATGAGACCTCTCTGTTCTGTTACATCGAGCAAAGATAACACCTGTACATCGGACGGGTTTCCTGCTGTTCTGGAGCGGGAAACTTCCACGCTTGGAAGCCATCATAACAGCGAGTTCGACCCAAACGTAGCGAGCAAAACAAATAGTGCGAGACGAGTGCGTGCTGCATCCAAACGTCGCACGGCTTACACAGGCGAACTGTATCCGATTTCAAAGATACTTTGTCTGAACTGGCTGAACAACTTCAACATGCGCAGAGCCTCCGGGCACTTTCACAAGACGCTGAGCAAACATCGCACGCGACGAACGGGTACGTGCCATGAACTGTACCACCATAGACAGCGCAAGTCGACTGGGGAGGAAGAGGGAACAACCGCAGCGCATTCCCACGGACCGTTACGCCAAAGAGGGCGTGAAGTTCCCACCAGGTTGGGACCTGTCGTCATCTGACGTGCTATGAGGACGCGCGCATTGCGGTGCGTGGCCTTCAGCGCTTGACTTGCGCCTCGCAGAAGTTTCGCGAAAAATGTCGAGCCAACCGATCGACCGCTTGCAACTTCCGCTCTGCGCGCTCGTTTGCGAAAAACTCGCACGTAGCACAACCCGATCGCCGTTTTCTCGGGTCAGCGCGTTGGCGGGTGGCGACTTGACGACTGCAGGTTTCGACAGCTTCTCGGCTCGGTCCACGTCCGGCCGGCCGGGCGTTTTCGGGCGTGGGCTCTTCCTATCGAGAGGAGAGGAGGTGCGTGTGGGCTGTACGCTGTGGCCTCGTCCACTCTTCGATCGATAACGCCTTCGCCATCGCATGGCAGACTTGAGCATGGCCCTGCCGGATGCAACGGCAGACTGGGCGCCCGGTCATGCGGTGTCCACTACACCACTTGCATCCGTCTCAGCGACACTTGACGAAGCTCCGGAAGCGATGGATCCCGGCTGCACGTGGCCACCGAAAACGACTCATCTGCAGCGCTCACAGGCAGTGGCAGCCAAGAAAAGCAGTAACACCGCCAGAGTCCGACCGATGCACGAGCCGCAGACAGGAGACGCACCTCACCTCGTGTTGCAACGACTGCGAGCAATGCCTACTGCATGCGGGTCAGCCATGTACAGCCCTCATCGTCGATGCTCCGCTGCGTCAGCGTCCATAGTCGCCATGGTCCACAGTCCGAGGGCCTTCGCCAACGACAACAACAATTCTGTCGCGAAGCGAGACACCTCTGCCCAAACTGCGCCCGTCCGTTGGTTCTCTCCGATGTTCCCGACCACTGAATTCGGTCGTAGCAGTCGATGCAGCAGTCCGATTCCAGTCGGGCCTACTGGCCATGTACCCGATCACCCGATTCCATCGGACGAAGAGGAGGACGAGAGTGAAGACGAAGTCTGTACGCTGCGTCAGCAGGTAGCGTTGCTCACCAAGAGCCTCGAAGACGAGAAAAAGCGACGCGCGTCTGAGCAGCATCTTATGCAGACGGTGAGTCGTTATTCCATAGCGTTGTCCAAAGGTGTTGGTGCTTACGCGCGTCTTCCATGTGCTGTTGCAGAAAATCATTGAGCTCCAAAGCTTGATCCGTGCAAACGAGCACGAGGATAGCCGGGAGACTGAGTCTGCGGATGCAGGCAAGAAGACAACGTCTCCAGTGCAAGAAGGCTTGATTGCAACACGGGAGAATCAGCTTCTGGAGAGCGGTCAAACCAAGCGACGGTCACCTCCAGCTGAGTCGTCGTCGTCTTGCAGTTGCCAGCACAAGTCGAATGATAAGACTGTGGAAGCAGCTGCAACGCTGCAGTTTACGCGGATCCGTGCTAAAATGCATGCCATCGTCATTGACAGTCAGCGCGAGACCCAGTAAGTTTCGTGTTCGCAACGAGTGCAGTTGTCATCCAGCTTCTTACCTGTACCCCGCGTTGGCTGTAGAACACTTCAAGCCCGATTGGAAGGCGTGAAGCGAACGCAGAACGAACGGGAGAAACGACTCACGCTCGAGACCACAATCAAAGTCACAATACTCGAACAGAAGCACGCCGCAGCTTCGACAAGGCTCGAGCAGCAAGCTGTAAACAGTGAAGCGCAAGCGAAAAAGCTGCAGGCTGAAAAAACGGAGCTTCTGGCCTATGTGCAGGCGCAACGGCAGCGTCTGAAGCAGCTGGAACTCGCTCTTGGTTGCAAGCAGCTTATGGATGACCTTCGATGAACGCAAGTCGATAGGTGACGCCGATATGAAGGCCCGTAGATAAAGAATTGTCGAATGCGTGCATGCGCAGCCTCCGCATACTGCGATCAGCAGCAACTGCGTGAACACGGGGGCCAGGCACGGAGGAACTACATGGACACGCAGGCATCGAAATGACAGAGAGAAGCAGCATTAGTTTAGTGCACGACTTGCGGACGACGATCGTTAGCCGCTCTGCAAGTCTTCTCCCCTTAGCTATCCTAGCACACTTCACAGCAAATACAACACCAAAGCGATGAGGAACCACAGGAGAAGGGTAGCAATATCAACATCAGGGCCTTGTCACGTACCTGGACAGACGCCGTGGGTGGGAGAACGTGATCACCGATAATCAACACCACCCGACCGGAGCGAGCGAGTCATCCGCCGCACTAATGAACACATAATCCGAACAAGCAATACAGTGATCACCAGAGCCGCTGAACCGGTGAGTTGCGGTGCGTCGTATTTTACGAAGATGCGTTATACTTCACCCTAATTTCCTCTTCACCCAACAAACCAGCACTAATCGAGTTGATGTTCCCCGTGAAGACACGTCGTTCCCATGTGGCAGTGTTGAAGTACAGAAACTGCGGTCCAAGGGAGCTGGTCGCTAATGAAGGCGCTGTACCTGATCCCATTGCACTACCAATGGATCCGATATTGCCATTGCCATTTGCGACCACTGACGATCCAGTACTTGTGCCCCCTACCGACGAGCTCAAATGGTTGTTCACGACAGCAGCGTCAGCTGGAGATGCGCGCTTCAGCCAGGTCTTCAATTCGGCGTGGTACCGCCACTCGCGAGTATACAACTCTTGCGCAGCATAGGCTTGTAACACGTCCTTGGGCATCGAGTAGAATATGAAGAATAGCGTCTCGAGATGGAATTTGGACAAGTGCGTTGTCTTAAGCACTGGCGGCTGATTGTAGTAACACGTCGGCAGTGAAAACTGCGGTTCCTCTGTCAGCTGCTCCTCGGCCCACGGAGATGCAAAAGTTGGATGCAGTGGTCTAGTGTACAAATCACAAAACAAACAACGGCCAGTGAGTCCAATCATCCGATCCCAAACAAGAAGCATTCTAGCTTCCGGACAACGTACTCTGCCGCGTTAAGATTCAATCCAAGCGACGTCAGATCGCAACCCGTTGCTAGATTCTTTCTTGAGTCATCACCTGGCCGAATGATAGTGTGCAGCAAGCCCAAAAGCCCATACTGATTGCTAGGGTCGAGCTTGCCATTGCTAGCTTCTTCAGTAGCAGCCTGTTTGTCGTGCCGCGATGCACGGAAATGATTGAAGGCTTCAGTACCTAGATTTATGCTGCCACTGCTTCCTGCTCCCAAATCGGACAGCACCACACCGCCAGCACGGCTACCTATTGATGTCCCACCCTTCTGCTGCTCTAGCCGCGAGGATAGCATGCCATCTGCAGCAGACGAAGTAAAGCTCGTGTGCCTCTTCAGTTCTGCCGCCGATCGTACTGGGCTCTTTTCACCAGCGCTAGGTCCAAACGTTGAGAGTGCAGGAAAGTCTTCCTTCTGAATGACAAACTCGGACGGTTGGGCCCTCATCCGGTCAGCCGCCGTTCCCTCAAAGCTCGAGTCCAAAGATAGCGAGCCCATTCTACTCAGCATTCACGCTCATCAGTACCGTTCTGCAGCTAACAAAGCTGTAAAAACAAGATCGCAGCCCGCCTGACAGCCTACCTGGAGCTCAGCGCAGGGAACTCGGACATATCGGGCGTGTTGTTATTACTTTCCGTCGGCAGTTGAAAACTTCGTCCTGTACCGTCAACAAGCACAGCATTGCGTAAGCACATCCAGAAATCACCACCATCAAACAACACTGAAACAAAACAAGGCACGAAGCCCGCAGTCAAATACACATTTGACCTGAGTTCATGCGATGCATGTCGTGCGATGGAGGCAGCGCTGTCCCGACTTGCAAATGCCCGACGCCAGCTCCACCCAAGAACTGTCGCACGAAAACGTAGTAGAAAGAAAAGCAGCACAAAGACACGCGATTCAGTCTTTTTCGTGTCCACGAACGATTTCGTCTGCCAAATATACAGTGCCGTAGCTTACTGAACTAGGTCCTCCTTGCATGAGACCACTGCTGTAGCTCGAGTAGGGGCTATGCAGCGGCGCCAAGTGCGACTCTATGATACAGAACAAGAGCAGCGAGCAAAAAGTAAACGTCATCATGTCCATCTCCTAGCAGCACTGGACACGAAGAATGAAAAGACCCAATGTCGGGCTCAGGGCAAGTCTGACCTGCTGCCTCCGAGTCCATAGCGACTGCACCGAGACCGCTGGCCATCGAGTGGAAGGCAGAGAGACTCAAGTGTGGACTTCCACTGCTGCCGAGGCCGTTAGTACTGGAGCCACTGAGGCCCAACCCCTTCGCGCTCGAGAGCTCGTCCCGATGGTAATAGTACTGACTCGCGTCAAACTCTTCCTGTAAAATCGACAGCACAGCCACAAACAAACAGCGTACAAATGAGCCAAAACACAGATGCGCAGTAATGTCCCGTGGCGCGCGACACGTACTTTATCCTCCGCCGTTTGGATATTATCCTTGAAATAGGCAAACTTGTCTTTGAACGGGTCGATCATGACCAGTGGGTGGACGGCCGCTCGATTCACACGCGCGCGCACAGCGAGAACACACAGTGACGTCGCAAGTCGAAGCGCTGCGGAACGAACGGCGGAGACTACGCGCGGGCTCTCTCTCTCTCTCTCTCTCTTTGGTGCTTTTGGTATTGGGGGAATGGGGTGTTATTGCTGTGTACCACATCGTTTAGTCTCGCGGCCTTTTTCAGCGCCATATGTGAGTGCATATTGGGGGTGTGCGCTGAGCGATTTTGTTCGAAACGTAAGGCAATGATTGGGCAGATAATGAATTTTACCGTGTGGTTTCGACCACTGTCGATATGACGATACCGTTCGTCGGTTTTACTGCTTTTCGAAGTTTGGGCGTTTCTGGTATCTGACATTCGGTACTGATCGGCGATGAGGCTGTGGGGAATCGTAAAAAAACACCAGTGTTCGCCTAAAAAACACCGTTACGATGAGGCTATCCATTAAACTTGTTATATATATACACAAAAGGGTATAGAAAATACCACTTTCGATTGAGCTTCACTAGAAACGTTTCTAAACTAAGTCGGACCCTCCGCCTTTTGACCGGAATGCTGTCGAATACCTTCGGTCTGTCGCGGGCAAAAGAGAGACTTTGGATCACATTTTTGGGGTTGTCCAACCGCCCAGGGTTGCTGGCTTACACTCATAACCTACTAGACCGGATGCACGGGAACTCCGACCAGTATGCAGCTTCATGCGACTTTTTGCATGTCACGGACGTCCCCGCCGTTGAATCCGATCATTTCACGGCGGCTGCTGAGCGCGTTTGGACATTCAATGGAGGCTTATGTGTGTCAATGGAAGCGCATGTGGTAGGTATTATGTTTAATATGTATCACGATTATATGGGTTCAGCGCGATCGGGTCGCTCACGAAGGTCTTTCCGTCACTTTGGCGGGATGTATGTACGAATACATAGTTCAAAGTTTTCGGCAATTACACGCACTAGCGATGCGGGAGTGTAGGAAGCTACACACCCAGGTGGCCGGAACTCGTCTAATGCAATGCATCGGGCTGCTCACCATGACCCCATCTAGAGCACCGCACACACCGGTGAGACTTGTCCAACCACCGGATCATTCGACACTGGCGTTGCTATCGTGGCTTAGGTCTTTCCAGACGTCTTGTACACCATAATTTCGTATAATAGACAGTCTGTTTCTCTCTCTCTCTTAAACGGACTGCAGTCTTCACTTGCGAGACGACGGCTCCTGCAACGGCGCAAGTACAAGCCAAGGGCGTGACGGCAACATCTGCAGCGACGATTTCTGAACCGGTGGAGCTTGCCGCTGTTGAAACGTAAGCGGCCTCGGACGAGACAGTCTTTGCAGCGGCGGGATTGGCTGCGTCGTCGCGTTTGAGAGCAAAAGGTAAGATGGTGGCGGTATGTCCAACAGCATTTACATTTCTACCACCCATTAGTTGTTAATATGGACTATTGACGCTCTCCTTAGCATTACGTCGGCAAGGACATGTCTCCTCGGCATCATCTATGGGAGTCAACAAAAAGTAATCCAACGATGGCTTTGCGCAAAAGATATCTCGTGCAATCAGAAAGTAGACCAACCCACGCCATTTTATTATATGGTCTGATCGGTCGTGCCGTATCGAATCTAAAATACATACGCGACGCTAGTTAGCCGTGTTGCGCAAAACCTGTCAGCAGCAGCATTACCAACCTGCTATTACTTCCTCAAGAGGAGAACAAGTATAACCATGTTATAATACTGCAATAAACGCCGATGGGAAATAGGACGGCTTGTGCCAGCGTGAATTCAAGTAGACCGGTGCCATATACTGCAGTCTCCTTAACAACACAGATCATTTAGCTCCAATATCGATGGTATGTAATTCACACGGCATCGCAAGGACCTAATGAATTGTGCCAATACAAGAAGCAAGCAACGTCGGGTTGATCGCGGACACCGTAAGTCGCATCGACACGTTTAGAAACCTTAGAATTAAGTCGATCATGATGACCATGATCGCTCCAGGCCTCCTGCAACCATCGCCACAACATTATTAACCAGCTTTCAGTTCTCGTACCTCATTTTTCTTTACGCACACCCACGTACCTGGACTCTACTAGTAGTAAAAACTTTGCACCAGCAAAAGAGTTACTAAACTCCCAGAACGCGACACCAGCGTGGGTTTGCTCAACATCAATAAAAATGATACATAGAAACATACCAGCAAAAGCAATTTACACAACAAAATGTGGTTTAGTTTGTTAGTCACTCAGTCATCAGCCACATCTGAAAAGCACAATTTTTCTATCTTTCTCGCATTTCTTTGGCTATGACTCCACCGACTGCAACAGCCCGTCCCCCGTTTACTACTATTGTATACTCAGATGAATGGTGGCGATCTTTAGAGACGGCGGGAGGGACGACCTAGAATGAGAAGTACAGGAGCAATATCGATGAATGCGCCGTGACACAGTCGACGTGACGGTATGCACGTGCAGCGATTACTGAGCGTGTGCAAGGGCTAGGCCCTGAGCAGGCTATCAACAAATTGGGACGGCAGTATATTTAAAATGCAAAGTGTCCGACTTATCTTAGAAACGTTTCTAGCGAAGTTCAATCGAAAGTGGTATTTTCTCTACCCTTTTGTGTATATAATAAACAAGGTTAATGGATAGCCTCATCGTAACGGTGTTTTTTTAGGCGAACACTGGTGTTTTTTTACGATTCCCCTGAGGCTGTCGAGTATGAGCGTGGCAGAAAAACCCCACTGTGGCTCTCGCGCGTTATGGAAACGTCTATCTATTAAATGTGGGGTGAGATTGGCATATGTGGACAAGATACAACTCTTGCCAATTTGAGAGTAGAAAGTAGGGGCGAGATGCGTCCAGGTACATTCTGTCAAGGAGTATATCTTACAATAAACAAAGGAGTTCGACGACCACACTTGGTAGGCATACTTATTTTACATGAAAGATCGCCTGCGCGTTTGTGATATGCGCGCAAGAGTAAATCAACTCCTTTATGGAGCGTCGATTTGCTGAGGTTAAGTTTTGCAAGTTGTAAAGAGTCTGTCGAAAAGCATCTCACCAGTCGGCGAACATGTAGAACAAGCCTTTGCGACGCAACAACAAACTTCTTTTTTTACACACAATTTGCGCTAATGCTACACAAGAACAAGTGCACGTTGCTCATGTCATACATGGGAGCTTACAAAGACGACCAGTCGTGTTGCTAGCCGCGAAGGCCGATGATTGGCGCTGGGATGTAGGGGCGGTACTCATGGTAGAATTTCGTGCAGTAATGATTGCAGCATCATTGATGCAATCCCATTTCACCATCTCCCAGACGACCGACAAACGGAAGAGTGCTCAAATTTGTACAAAAAGTTCTTTCCTCATCTTTTTGCTCGTCGGTTGTCCGGGTGGCGGTCCATTTGATGAATTCGAGATGACGTCAGTCTTGATCTATGTTTGTGATAGTGACATTTACGTGCAAATTCTCAACGCTTTGCGGGCATTGGGAGGCGCTCTCATCCAGTCGGCACGCTCTGGATGGATATGGCTACGGTAAGCATATATTCTGGACCGTCGATCCGCCTCGTGGTCACTTTTCTTTAATTAGAGGCCATTCCGTTTCGTGTCGACTGCCTTCAATCGCAGTAAACGTCTCTAGGAAGTCGTCAGCAACACTGATCAAACGGCACGTGACCTAAGCGTGCAAAAAACCTCGGACAAAAATCTCAATGTTTAGGGTTACATACATGATTCCGAAATGCAATATTTGGGTCGAAATAGTCAAATTAACTATGACTGGTGTTACCAACTTTTAACCCGAAGACCTCATCGCCGTGTTGTCCGGTCGGCTCGAATATGGCGCGTGTTCAGTACTACTGCATCGTAATTATCGCTTTCGTTATGCCATGGCGTAAACGTTTTGTAATAGTGGATCGTCATGTAGTTATTACAACCCTGATATGTCCGTTTTACCCTTTCCGAAACACTGTAGTGCAGGCAGGATGATTCGAAGCCACCTGATGAAGAATATATGTGCAATCATGAAATGCATTCGATGTGCGACTTTACTATGACATGTATCCAGCCATTCGCGTCCCAAAACATACAAATTATTCCGTATCTTTGCAGGAGGATTTATTTACCAGACCACCTTCGAATGCGATTAGATCGTTCAGATCGAGCCTTTACCTATTTCAGCAATGGATTTCTCCCCATCATTACCTACGATGGTGCAATCGCGCAAAGGCGCGTTGATATACGCGGAGGCATTTTACATGCTTGTGTGATAAGCCGCGTGCGGTGAACTATTTCATATTTCTTCGCAGGTAACTTTCCGGTAGCCCAATTTTAATGAGAACCATAAAATCAGATTCTATTGGTATATCTTCGATGTCCATAACTCCCTGTGGATAACATTTAGCGTATTCGACATTAGATCATGGGTAGTGGCGATAAATGACGTGGTTTAGGTTTCCTCGATCACTTACACGCGAAATCGCATGATGGAGATACTAGGTCCGGTCGAAAGTGAGTCCATGTTTTTATTATAATACATGGTTATAAGCAATTATATGAAAGCCTTGATGGTAGCCAAAACCTGCATCAGCATAGAAATCTTCCTTGTTGCCTTAGTAGGCACCGACCACATTATCAAACGCGTGTATGCTCAAATGCCCTCAAGACCACTCAAGGTTCTCGAAATAATGTTTGATATGCTAGCCTCATAATAACCACTCGTAAAATCTGGTATTAATCATTTGAGGACTCTTAAAAAAGCGTGGGACTTTAACAGCAATAGTTGAGTCCATCCGGACTGGCTGTCACCCAATCGATTTTCATAAACGTACGTTGCGTGCGAGGTTAGCCACGTTCGGTAAAGGAGATGTAGGCTCTCTGTAGTAGAAGAGTGCAGTTACAAAGCGTTAACATACTATATAAAACCACCAAATAGAAGAATAAAACTACAACTCCATCCACATGTCTTCCAGTA